TTTGGTACAAATATCAGTTAAATATATAGAGAATAGTGTGCACTGTTGTACTATTTCACATAAAAGAGCTCAGTTCCATTTTTTAAAAAGATGACAATATAGTGCTATATTTACAGAAAGCAAAATGTATGGCTGTTATTGTTAAATACTGTAACAGACCCATTCCAGCTGGCTGCCGCATACTAATGAAGGGAAGACTTTGGTGAACAAATATCAGTTAAATATATAGAGAATAGTGTGCACTGTTGTACTATTTCACATAAAAGAGCTCAGTTCCATTTTTTAAAAAGATGACAATATAGTGCTATATTTACAGAAAGCAAAATGTATGGCTGTTATTGTTAAATACTGTAACAGACCCATTCCAGCTGGCTGCCGCATACTAATGAAGGGAAGACTTTGGTGAACAGATTCCTCTTCCCTGAGTTTAAAAAAAAAAAAAGGCCAAGCCAAAGTGCAGCATAATGAGGCAGGCACCTGGGATCTCTTAGAGCTTGCTAGAAGCTACAGGCTAATTAGACACCTGCAGCCAATTAAGGCCCGTGGTGCTGCTTTAAAAGGTCTCCAGGCAAGGAAGTGGGGGAGGAAAAGAGTGAAGAACAGGCAGGAGGAAGTGTGATATAGAAGAGCTGTGTGGGTGATAACTGAGGACTGATGAGTAGGTACCAAAGGAAAGATGCTGGGAGGGATTGTTTGGGGAAGCGGACCAGGGAAAAGCTGCCGAAGTGAGATTGATGGAAACCATGCCTGTTGCTGCTGCCCTAGGGTCCATGGAGTAGTAGGAGGGAGATCAGGACTCCAGAGCGGAGTTTACCCTAAACTTATGTACTAGTCTGTGATGAGTGTGGCTTGATAGGCTATAGCTCCTGCCTCTACTAAAGAGGTCATGTGGGGGGCCACAGCCAGCCTCTGAGGCTAATGCTGTCCTCCAGTAGCTTGAGACCCACAGAGAATGGCTGGGACTTTGCCAAAATATTTACAAAATTAACTGAATGCTCCAAAAACTTGGTTTTCATTTCAAAAAAATATTTAAGCTGGAAATACCTTGTATTGTATTTTGGCGCTCTGAATAGATAGTAAAAATATACATAACAGCAGACAATTGTACAGTAACATGATGTGAGGGCATTTGGGTAGAAAAACTCTGCAGGAGAGTCTATTTACTTCTCCACTTCTGAAAAGCAGCAGTTGAAATTCAGAGGTGCTGGCTGTCTAGTTGTTTGTGGCGTTGGACAACATTGGAATATGTTGTTACTACAATAGCTGTAAAGAAGACAGCTCTTATAGTCTAAAATTCTACACATGGGCATGACTATTGATGGTCAGAATATTTATTGTTCAGATTACCTTTTCCCCCCTTATTTGTTTAGGGCAGTTGAACTTCTGAAACAAAAATTCAAGTTGAAGTTCAGAGCTAGCAGAGTGTATTTGCAGGTCAGATTTGGTGTATAATAGGGTACATCTACACCTCAATACTATTTCAGGATACTGAAATATCCCAAAATAGCTATCCCACATCGTCACAGCAAGACTGTTATTTCAAGCTCACTATTCCGACGTCACCATAATCCTCATTCTACGAGGAGTAAGGGACATTTTGGAATAGCGCTTTATTTCAAAATGTGGTGCTGTGTAGAGATGCTATTTCAAAATAGCATCGAAATGAGATATGCAATTTGCTGTGGAGACGTACCCATACATTTATTTTAAGAATCAGATAGAAGGAAAAAGCTCTGAATTTTGAACGAGGCGTTTCTTCTTCTCTTTGTCATTTCTAGGCAGCAAACATACCACTGGTATCAGAGCTTGGCATTGACGATATCCATTTTGATGACTTTTCACTCGATGTGGATGCCATGATTACTGCAGCCCTCCGGATGTTCATGGAGCTTGGAATGGTGCAGAAATTTAAAATAGACTATGAGGTAAAATATATACAATGGAAATCTGCTCTGTAAAGATATCTGTTGTTTTGTCTTGGCAGTGCTGTTCCCATTTGTACACATTGTGTAGCCCTGATAAAATTTCTGCTTTTCATTTCAGACACTGTGTAGGTGGCTTTTGACAGTGAGGAAGAATTACCGAATGGTTCTGTATCACAACTGGAGGCATGCTTTCAATGTGTGCCAATTAATGTTTGCAATGTTAACTGTAAGTATTCAGTGAAAAGGACAGCCCTCATAAGAGTTTTTATCATCACATTGTCTTATATGCCTAAATGTCTTTTCCAACATTAGTTTTTTAGTTATTATAAGTTCATTTTATACCAATGTACAATACATAGGCGTATCCCTAATTGTGGAAATACATTTTGGTAACATTTGATAAGAGTTCTAGTAACAGTGATATCATATCACAAATACATGAAAATCATGAATTAACAATAGATAACAATCTTGGAGTAGGGAGCTTATTAGAGAGCTTGATCTTTCTGGGTCTTCCTTTTCTGAAATCTTTGATTTTGCATATATTTCTGTATGTGAAAACGGAGTCATAAATACCTGAGAGTAGAATCATATCAGCAGAGTTATTTGGTGTGATGCTCTAGCTTCATCTAAATAGAAATAGGAGATATTGCCTTGTAAGCCATTTTAAAAATGGGCTTCTGTAGAGCTGATCCAAATAAGTTTACAGCCTCCACAAATTCTTTTCTGCTATTCATCAAACATATCAGTCTAGGGTTCTAGCCTTTTTTCTGCATATCAATTGCTCTTATTGATGCCAGTAGCAAAAGAGCATCATAGAATTCATGGTCAGAAGTTGGTAATGAGGTTTCTGAGTCCAGTTTTTAGATAACTGACCCTATACGGTTAAAAGCCCTGGTTAACAGGGCTGGAGAGAAGAATTGTAGCTCGTGTTATTTTTCTATATTCTCCTTTTAAACCATACATTACCTAAAGCCAAAATTACAACTTCACATCCCTTTACATATTTCAAAAGCATACAGTTTGAATTCCTGTATCTAAATTTGCTCAAGATTTGTGGTTAGAACCCAAACTGTAAGGCTATGTCTACACTGACAGCTTCTTGCGCAAGAACTCTTTTGTGGAAGAGTTCTTGTGCAAAAACTCTTCCACACTGGCGTGTGCTTTTGTGCAAGAGCATCCATGGCAGTGTAGACACTCTCTTCCCAAGAAAGCTCTGATGGCTGTTTTAACCCTAGGGGCTTCTTGCGCAAGACATTCATGTTGACTGTCTACACTGGCCTCTTCTGGAAGAGCTCGTGCACAAGAAGGCTTCTTCCCGAGAGGGAGCATCAGAGTTCTCGCACAAGATGCCCTGATTTTCTGAAGTACAACATCAGTTTACTTGCGCAAGAATGTGCGGCCAGTGTAGACAAGCGACATGTTTTTACGCAAGAGCGGCCGTTTTCATGCAAGAACGTGCCAGTATAGACACAGACCAAGGGGCTTATTTTCTGGGTTGCGACATGTCTGAAACCTTGGTAAGAACAGCTGTTAGAGTGATTTCAACCCTTGATAGTGGAAAGTTTTGAGAACAAATGCAAGATCCCTACTGTGCAAAGTAGTAGAAACTGATGTACCATGAGATTTGCGATGTTTGAGCTAAAATTTAACAAGTTTGGGATTTAACTCCCAAAACAAAACATGAACCCTATTTCAGCCTCAAACTCTAGTGTAAATCTCATCTGGATCCAAACACAGCCTCACTCGTTTATCATTAGCCTTAAGAGAAGATCCTGAAGTTTGTGCAAACATTTCCTCATATGTAGTTTGAAAGATGACCATGAAAAGTTGTTCATTTTCAAACGTTTTAACCCTTTAAGTGCTTTGGGGTATAGAGGGTGAAAAGTTTTAAAGATCTGCCTTAAGCACACGGCATGACTCACATTATAAGCCATACATATTGCTAGACAGTTGTGCATGAAACTGGTTATTAGGACATTTTCATTCACATTTTCCAAAGGTGTGTCTGTCCCTAACATACATCTATCCAAATCAACAAACTTGTAAGGTGTTGCACATATATTTGCAAAACAACCTGTGTTTACTCCGTTTGAAATTGAATATCTTTATAATTATTTATAAACTCGTTATGGGGCAAAATTGTTGTTTCTGGCAATAAACACAGCTCTCTGCAGAACAAGTGATAACTATCAATCCTCTGGGCACAATGGGTATTTATACAGTGACAGGCATGCTTTTTTGTTACCAAAAATATAGAAAAACTGAAAATTTCTAAGCTTCCTCCTCAGAAACTTATGATTTTTTTTTGCTAGTTCTGCTGTTTTAAAATTGGTTTATTTAACAAAGTCATAATTTGGGAAACACATACTCAGATATTATTGAGCAGATAATACAATAACTAGGATGACTGAGCAACTTGCTTTATCCAACTGGATCAGATTAATTGCTGAACAAATCAATGTATGCCCATGGCACCAGGGATGGGAAAGAGGTCTTCCAGCACTCAGTGTAAAACCCCTAAACGAGGGCAGCATAGTGGCAATATAGACCTAGCCTAAGTGTCTTGGTTTGGATACCCACAAATTGGTGCAGATAAAAGCCCCGGTCATGGTTGAAAATGCGGTCCTGTTTACTTTCCCAAGGTCATAATAGGAAGCCTCTGACTGACATAGGCTGAAAGAGAACACAAGAATTCTAAATCACTGCCCTGTGATTTAGCCACAACACATCCATCCCTTTGAATCAAGGGCTGTGCAGAGAAGTTTCATCTGTATCTTTTCTACCTGAAGAAAATTTGTATGGTAAATGCGAATTGATGCCATAAGTTTCTTTGTACAGCTTTGCCATATGCAGATGTATTCACTCTTGTTTTCATGGGTTCTCTGTTGTATAGTGTTAAAATGCTAACATCCCCTCACGACACAGTAGGTGAAACATTTATAAATCAGTTGGGAGTTGGCAGGGTTCTACCATCCAAATATTTGCAGAAGAATAAGTGAAAGAATTGGATGGAACATGTCACTTACTGGAACAGCAGAACATTATGTGGTGAAATCAGAGATGATATAGATCAGTCAGGCACCAGACAGAAATCTACTAGTCCAAGAATTAAACCGATCATTACATTTTGCTGACAATAATATCTCAAAAAATCAAACCACAGAAGCAGTTTCATGGTGCATCTCCATTTTGGAGAATCCTGGGCTTATTTGTGGAAAATAGCAAAGCTGGAGCTTTGATGGAAAGCAGGTGCATCTCAAGGACTATGTACTTCTTTTCTAAAGAGAGAGAAAGGGCATGTGAGCATTACTGCTTTTCAAGACTCCTACCACCTGCCAGTCTATAAAACACCATTGAGATGATAAATTCATTACCTGCAGATGTATAGGAGAGTCTTAAAAATATTTTGTACTTAAGACATAGTGGCTGTGTCTAGACTGGCAAGTTTTTCCGCAAAAGCGTCCGTACCAATCTAGACACTCTTTTCCGCAAATGCTTTTAACGGAAAAAACACTGACTATCTCATGTAAAAAAAATCAGTGCTTCTTGCGGAAATACTATGCTGCTCTCATTCGGGAAAAAGTCCTTTTGCGCAAAAGCTTTTGCGCAAAAGGGCCAGTGTAGACAGCTCAGATTTGTTTTGCGCAAAAAAGCCCCGATCGCGAAAATGGCGATTGGGGCTTTCTTGCGCAAAACCGCATCTAGATTGGCATGGACACTTTTCTGCAAAAAGTGCTTTTGCGGAAAAGCATCCATGCCAATCTAGGCGCTCTTTTCCACAACTGCTTTTAACGGAAAACTTTTCCGTTAAAAGCATTTGCGGAAAATCATGCCAGTCTAGATGTAGCCAGTATGTCGTCTTCCAAAAAATGGATTGTCTGTGTCAATAGCCCAGAAATAATGTTGACTGAAGCATAAATGTTTTAACTAAGTAAAAATAGTAATATCAGTATCTATGAGGCCCAGGTCAACATAACTAATTTTCTGTACCACAAAAAAGTTCAGAAAAGAAGATCATGCCAGACTTAGAAGATAGTGACTGCAAAATTTTCAAAGGCTTGCTCAGCGTTTGGAGATATTTATATTATTGAAAATAAGGTCAGATTGAAAGGAACAAAGGTCAAAACAATATTTTACTGATGTCAAAACAATATTTATGATTAGTCTGAGTTATCCTGTTCCATAAGACTATGGATAGTTTCTCTGGAAATTAGTATTCATGCATTAAATGGTTGTCTTATTAACTTGCTTTTTAGCTGTAGTAATTTTTAGATAATAATGTTGCCTTCTGTTCAGCAGTGTCTTGTTATATGAACCTTCATAGAATTATATCCGAGCTGACCAGAAGAAATTGCATTATTTCCCCCTCATTACAAAGCTTTCATAACGTCTTATGGAATATTAGAATTTTACAAAACTCAATGCTAGCAGAGTGAAAAAACATGCACTCGCGCACACACATGCACATCCCCGGACACTTCTTTATGTTTCTTTAAATGCTGCTATAATGCAGATTTAAAATCCATATTTGTGAAAAAGAATCATAGAATCCTAGAACTGAAAGGGAACTTGAAAGGTCATCAAGGCCAGTCCCCTGCCTCACAGCAGGACCAAGCACCGTCTAAATCATCCCTGACAGATGTCTATCTAACCTTCTCTTAAGTATCTCCAGAGATGGAGATTCCACAACCTCCCTAGGCAATTTATTCCAGTGTTTAACCACCCGGGCAGTTAGGAAGTTTTTCCTAATGTCCAACCTAAACCTCCCTTGCTGCAGTTTAAGCCCATTGCTTCTTGTCCTATCAGCAATCTGAGTTTCAGAAAGAGGCTGAACAGTTAATAAATCCACTGGAGCCTCCAATGGACTGAACTACTTTAAATTAGTAGGAGTTTTAAATGAGCAAAGAATATGAGAATGGAATTTAAAAAGTATAAAAATGAGAATATTCTGCAGTTTGTTACCTTCTGGTTTAAATTTTCATCTTGATTAATACACCATTGTGCTGACAGGTGTGTGTTTGTGTGAAGAGACATGTCATAACAATACGGTTAATATACCATCAGTTAGACATCACTGTCATAAAGACTAGGGATGTTAACTACAGTTTGTGTAAATGTGTAACCACTGGAATTTTTAGCAGTTACACGCAGAGGAGGGGGCAGGCGGGAGCCAGTGCTCAGGGGGAGCCAGCATTAAAGTTGGCTCCCCGTGAGCACTGGCTC